TTCAAGGTAATTAAGATTTCTGTTAAAGGCGGCTAAGATTTCTGTTAAAGAAGGCGCAAAAGTGAATCAAGCACAATGCCATTCAAACATTTTAAATGTTTAAAAAGTTTTTCAGGCTAGTTAAACGTGTCAATGACTGTGTTAAAAAGAATTTCAGACTGATTAAGAACTTTCCCTGAGACTACAGGTCGGACAAGATGAAACAGAACCTCATTTGGGTTACCATAAAAAAATCTTAAAAAGGACCTGAAAAAGAAGCAGCATCAATAATCTTTAACTTCTTTAATGTAAGTATATATTATTAAGGTAGTTCCAAAACTCCGTGATTTATGATTATTATTGTTATTACTTTTTATATCCTAATGTATAGAAGACGCCTATGAATTAACTATCCATTCTAATTTTACTCAAATTGATTTTACTAAAAATGATTTTAGGAGTCTTTGATAAACATATTTTATCTCCATTACAATAGTGTTCATACAATATTAGCTATTTAAATATTTTTTGTGGTTGTAAACATTTTTATTATAATAACGCTTTTTAAGTCGTATGAAACTATTTAAAGTAGAAGACTTTTTTAATTTATATACGTTAATATACGTGATGTAATATTAAAAAAAAAACATTAAAATGAAAAGATGTGTTCATGAATGTCAACACTTTATTTATAAGAAATATAATTGTTTCAGAGCTAAATTTGAGGATATTTATGACAAGACTGTAACTATAAAAAATGAAACTTTTTACAACCACGCTTTAATGCTAGAAAATATTGTGATGTGTACTAATCAAATATTTTCATCTGCATGTACAATACGTATAGTTTAAAACCGATATTTTAGACAAATATGGCTGAGTGTAAAAAAAAAGAGTATTTTTTTATTAATATTATATTATATCTTCTCGATACGGAAAAAATAATCATACTATCCTTTATGATACTAAAAACTTGAAGAACAGTTGGTTGCACAAATGATTGCTCAGTAAATTGCATAGTCGATTGCTTAATAAGTTGTAACAATTAACTGAACACTTTTATTTACAATTAAGAGATTAAGAGGTAGTGATTAGAATCTTGAATATATTTTCCGAAATAAAAACCAAAACAATGTAATTAGACTATATAAAACATAAAACTTATATCGAATCCTAATAAAAAGCTAACAGACTTAAAAGAATGTAACCAAATATTTATATACAGAATTCTTATTTCTCTATTAAATACAGATTGTATTAAATAGAGAAATAAGAAGTTTTATCTAAGTTAATCAAGCAATGTTATCAACATTGCTAACACAAGTAATTCATACTTTTCTTGCATATTTCTAGTTTAAGTAAAAGCTTTTGAAAGGGGAGTTTTTAATTTGATTTTGTTTAAAACAATGTAAATTCGGAAAAGGTCTTCTTATATCGATGAAATTAAAGCTTTTATTTTAATTATCCTTATGAGCATCTAAATAAAATATATAAAATAATATTTTAAGAGAAGTCAAACAGAGTTGCTGTCAGCCAATGATAGTATATATTATACACGCAAATATATTTTCAAATAGTAAATACACCAGCAGCATTAAATAGATATTAGTAAAAAGGACCAAAGCATTAATGCAGCATCACGCTGGTGATACAAAATTTTTTATAATCGAAAAATGTTTTATTAAAGAAGTGAGCAAAGCATTAAAGCTAAATCACATTACAGACGCCAAAATGTAATTAGACTATATAAAACATAAAACTTATATCGAATCCTAATAAAAAGCTAACAAATCACGTCACAAACGCCAAAATAAATCTCGTCACAGACGCCAAAATAAATGTCACCAAATGCAAATAAGTATTTTGCAATTAGGCAAAAAGTTTTAAAGACAAAATGAACTCCAAAATTTTATCTAATAAGTAAACCCTTATGCATAATCGTTTTTAATTATGATAACATATGTACGAAATTCGCTGAAATAAAAGTTGATACAATGGATAAAATATATAAATTGTTTCTTAAAGGTAATTAAGATCTTAATAACATAATCATCTCTAATCTTAAGAAAAAAGGAAATATTAATGTAACGCTATCACAGATTTTAACGCTGTACATGTTATTACACATACCACATAAAAATCTTGAATATAAGTATTGAGAAGCCGTTGAGCCACGGCTGCTTAATAGTTATATAGGAAAGAAGGCGACGGATAGCAAGGAGGAAAACGTGAACTTTATGGTTAAATGCACTGTGCTCTGTGATCAGAAATATGTATATGTAATCTTCGAGCATAACCTTAAAAAAATTGCATGAAAAACTTAAATAAAAATGGTTAAGTAGTAGTTTTAAAAAACATTTACAAAAAAAGCTAATAATAAAGCTTTAGAATTTCTTTTTAAAAAACAACCCATTTTATAGGTGAAAAATATGTTTAATATAAAACAAAGAAACGACATGTCGTAAAGGCAATCATGTAACAGCTATATGGACATGTGCATTCAAAAAATATGCAAATAAATTAATTTTTTTTTGTCTGCTTCATTCTTGACTATTGTGCAAACCTAATAAAAAACTTGTTTATAGCATGGACCATGTAAGCCTATATAACCATTTGAAAACGGTAAAAATTGGCAACCATTATTTAACAAAGCATAAAACAAAAAAAACATAAAGAGTTTTAGACGCTTGAATATTGATCTAAATTGTTTATGCTTTTCCTAAAACCTGAGTTGGTCTAGTCTATTGCAAAGCGTTTTAAATGTTTTACTTTTGTAGAAGCTTGAAACCTTGGTTATGCTTTTTTTTCTAAAACTTGGTTTGGTCTTATTGTAAGTCTTACTAGAGATTTGCTGATTGATGTGATTTAAACCTTTATTTGTTGTGGGTTACCAGTGTAACTGAGTCATTAAGTCATTTAAATGAAATAGTTAAACAGTATTTTAACATAAACATCTATCTATATGTTTTTGTAGTCTACGCCAGAGGAAAATCTGTTTGTCGTTTGGACAAGAAATATAATAATGCAATGAGAGAAAACAATTTTTGAAGAACTGTTCTTGAGCAAGTCATTAGCATTGCAGGAAACCTTTCAAAGATTTGGCTTTTTTTTGAGGACACTAGCTACTTAAAGCAATGTCAACAAATGTGTCCAAACTGATGAACTTTTTGAGTGGAAGCCATTCGTGCTATAAAAATTAGATATATTGCTATTATTAAAGTGTTCACAAGAATTAGCAAAGAGAAGAAAGAATAGCAATCTCATCGGCCTGTGATTTCTTTATTATATTTTGAGTTTATTGCATCAATTTTTTTCTTGTAAAAAATTAATGTGTGTTATCAAAAAGTTTTTGTTGAGCTTAACTACCAGGTCTCTCTTTTGAGACTATATTACTCTTAATTGTCTTCGCAGAGCTTCAATTTGTTCGTTATTCATATAGTCCATACTTTGAATTTTAAAAGAATTAGCAAGAAATTGAAATACAATAAAAACGCTCACCAATATCTGTAAGAGAAATGTCAGAAAATATTTTAACAAGATTAGCAATTCAATAGAGAAAATTTATTTTTAGGTAAATGCTTTTTTATCTTATCATTGACACTACACGATAATTACTGGACCACAAGCAGTTTGCTAATTCATACACATTTTTGTAATATATCAAAAATTAATTGACTACTAACTTGCTAAACAACCATATTTGTAAAGTCATAAATACTAATGATGTGAATGACGATCTTATTTTAAAAAACTGCTCATTTCGAAAAACGTTTGGTATAGAGTACAAATTAGAGGTGTTCAAGGTGTTTTGCTTTATCTAATCAAAGTGAAATTACTTGCTTTAATGCTAGAACTAGTAACTGTGTGTGTTCTCTTTATTACACCTCAAGGTTATGTTGCGTGGTCCAAACAAACGTTGAGGTTATCAAAATTTACGGTCTACGGTTGCTCAAAATCAATTTTCTTGATTAGATATGCTAGCTATTGAAAAAAAATATATATGGAACAAGAAAACGTTATTAAAAAATTTACTAATAAAAAATCACATGTCATTACTTGTTAAAGTTAGTTTAAGAATGTGATTTGAATTGAGCAGTGGTTTAAAACAAATATTTTCTGCTGAGACTAAAGGATGTGTATTCTTCTGGGTAATGTACACAGTATGGACTTTTACTTAAATTGGGAAGTTAAGTTCTGAAGCATTTCAAAAACATAAAAGCATCTTTTTTTTTGAAAAAAAGTGTTAAAATAAAACAAAAATTTAAGTAGTTTATGAACGGTAGTTTACTATAAGAGTTTTTTATTAGTTGTTTAGGTGCCCCAAAAAGTCTTAACGGTTTTATCACAGAGCATCGAGCAATAGCATTTAACCAGAAAGATCACGCCTGCTTCCTTATTAATGCTGCATTTATGACCAGATTCATTTGTTTGATTATTTGGAAAATAGTTTCCAAGAGTTTGTCACTTCGTCATAAATAAACACAAATCGGAAACACTGTTATATGATTGCAAAAAAATGACATTTTAAATCAACTCTAACCTTAAGATATTTTCCAGATCACAATTGAAGATTTTCTTTTTAAGGTGGATAAAGAACAAGACTGACCAAAAAAAAGTTTGATAATATATAATAAATAATATATTATAAGAAACTCTAGTTGTAACTAAAGTGCATATAAATTTTTCTTTGTATATTTATTTATATATTTGTATATTATATTATATTCGTTTTTTAACTATTTTTATTCATAGTTTTTCATTATTTTATTGTATAAAATAAAATAAAACAGATACTTTCAAATTTTAAATACACACACGCACAAACACAAATATATATATATATATATATATATATATATATATATATATATATATATATATATATATATATATATATATATATATATATATATATATATATCTGTGTGTGTGTGTTTGTGCGTGTGTGTATTTAAAATTTGAAAGTCTCTGTTTTATTTTATTTTATATTTTACATTTCCTATATACTTTTTTTAGAAATTTTAAAAATAAACAAAGAAGCATCTCATGTCTCATATTACTACGTACTATTTCTGTTTCCATTTGGTTCCAGTTGTAGTTCTCTATTCAATTCAAAATTGCGGAAACTCTAATGTGGTGTTGCGTCGTTTAACTAACAAAACTTACTTTTTTGGAGGAATATTTCCAACTCATTCTCGAGAAGGTAACTTTTATAGTCTTAATAGAGCAGCTATACTTCTGGTTTCATCAATGATGCTTGCTATTCAAGAAATAAATAAAAACAAAGAATTGCTTCCAGGAATTAAAATTGGTAAACAATTTTTTTATTGCTACATTTTTTCAGTTATTACAAGTGGAAATTTTATTTTAACAAAAACAAAAAATGTTTTTGACAAAGATTGCAGAGATCTTATTTTCAGAATCTTTTAAAATTGCTAAAATAATACATTATAAGTGAGAAAAATACTGTTAAAAATTCGAACAGGTAGTATAAAATGTATTTTTGTGTAGAACCTTATACTTTAGCTCAATTCATTTGAAAATATATACATGCAAAGTTTAAAATATTGTGTTTTTTTATGACAATATTTAGATGCTCTATAATAAAACAAAACATCAATCATCACTATTCGATAAGGGCGTGCAAAGGGCGTGCAAAGGCGTACAAATAACTTTAATCTCTTCCATATTAAACTTGTTATAATTATCTTTATTATAAGTGGGGCCGCAACACTAGATATATTTTGCTTCATTTATCATATAGTATTCACAAGTCGTTGCTAAACTAGAAAGTTCCTCAATTAAAACAGAAAACTGATCACAAAAAGTTCCTCAATTAAAACAGAAAACTGATCACTCTCTTCCTCACCAGCTTGTGGCTTAAAGTCGCTGGTGTAACCAAAACAAAATTCAGTATTTCTAATAATTTTAATGACATTCCTGTATTAATAAATAGCAACACTTATACTCAGTCCTCTACTTTTCTGCTTCTCGAATTATGCTTTCGCACTAGGTTTTCTTCTTTTATCATGTTTGCTATTTTCTTATTCCTGATTCTATTCTTTACCCATATAAATCTCTTAATTTTCACTGTATAAAATACTGTTGTTACAATTAAGCTGGTTCTATTAATAATGTCTTTTGTTTTTAGAAAAGGACAAAAATGCATCGTAAATGCAGTTGAACCTGCTCTAATTTTTGTTCCTGAGCATCTGTCTTATCGTTGTAAGGTTTTTTTTTCTACAAATACTACTATGGTTGGTGTTCAAATGAGCTATCATGCTTTGCTGCATCAACCATAAATCAATTTCTTGTGACTCGTCATTTAGCAAAGTCGCATTTTTTTTATTGCATCTATTATTCTATGTTATAAAATCTTTTATTTATGTAGCTTTTTTCCCTCACACATAAATACTTTGGAACTCCCTCCCGTCTTCGTGTTTTTCTGAAAACTTTGTTAGAAAAATGTTTAGAAGGAATTGAATAACTTAACTGCTTAAAATACGTAATGTTTAGTGTTTGTAGAAATAAGGAAGGGGTAAATTAAATTTTGTGGGCAACCAAAACTTCTACAAGTTGTATTTACGTAAACCTAGTCAAAAAAACATTAAATTTTGCAGTAAAATTTTGCCCTTTTGAAAAATTTTGTTTTTACCTCATTTAACGGTAATAAGTATTAAAGGTCCTAATCACATCATCTAATTAAACAAAGGTAATGCATAGTTACTGTTAAGACTACCTGATTAGATTATATGAAGAAGTTTATTAGATTATTTATAATTTTTATTTAATATTCGAAAATTGGAAAAGTTTTAGGTTTATAAAAAGCGGATAAAGCAACTTTATTCCAAAGCTATGATGTCACGATGCGTAAAAAAAAAACTTAGTTCGACAAAAAGTTTATATATAAAACTATTATTTCTAAGTGTGTTAACTTATTGGATTCCCGAAACTAAGACCTTTAAATATAAATAAAGATAAGCCATAATTTTACATATATACAAAACATGATATATTAAACACATTAACCTTATATATATTTTTTGAATTTCCATTTCAACAAGAAATAGTAAAGAATGAGTTAAATAATCAGCAAAATTTAATTAAACGGATAATTGCGAAACTGGTGATAAAAACATGGTAACTTTTCTTTGTGCTTTTCGCATCAGACTTTATATGAAATTTCAATGCTTATGAAAATATTTCTGCCAATTCAATCAATGAATAATTTCCAGATGATATTTTCATTGAAAAAAATCCTATTAACTTGGTGACAATTTCTTTTTATTTCAGTTATTTTTTATTTTGATTATTTACCCCCTAATATTAAAGTTAATTTATTGCATTTAGACCGTTTAGACATTTTTAAGTTCATAAACCATTGTAGAAACAGTTTGCAAATATCGTTATTGGATAAAAATTAAATTAGTTTCATCGTATGATACGAAGTTTTATAAATAACAGTATCAAATGCTTTTGATAGGTAAATGAAAACACCTAATATCTATCTTTTTTTTTTAAATGTACAAACTGCATAGTTAAATGTTAAATAAATTAAATAAAGAATATGTTTAAAGATATACTGATTGTTTTATAACAAAATAATAGAAATTTATTATTATTTATTTACTGATTATTTAGGTCTGCAATATAAATATTTTATTTTTCTTAAAAATAATTCCAACAAAAAAAGTTTCCAAGCTTGCTCACGCCGCACAATGTGCTAGGTAGTCGAAAAAACAGTTTTTTTAAGAATAACAATATAAAAAAATGTAATGCATAATAAAAAAATGTAATGCATGTTGCTTAGTTTACTTTTTATATACTTTTTAAATTTAGTTTAATTTTTGTAACATTTAATCAACATTCTTCTGGAAAATCTTCATTCATATATCAAAAATATAAAGTTTTATACAAATGCAAACTAAAACATACGTTTATAAAAGTTGTAAATACGATAATTTATCATGCGTTCTTATTATACTAAACTATTCATGAAAAATTTATTGAAAATAGTCCAGAATTATTAAATGACAGAGACTGGCAATTTTTTTTTTGTTTTTTTTTTTTGTTTTTGTTTTTTTGTTTCGCTCTTGTTTACAATTATATCATTGCATAAATACATTTTTCAAAAAAAAGTAATAATGTCTTTATAAAATACAATAACTAGTAATAAATTTAAAATACCAAGAATGCGGGTACTCATTAAGATTTTTGAAGATCCCTAATACTCCATGGTGGTTTATTACTTTTTTCATTGATATTAATTTTAATTTTTTGGAAAATTTGTGTCGTATATTTCAAAAAAGGTTTTTAAAAAGTGTCGTAAACTAAATTTACATTGTTTGAAGTATGACTGCAATGGAGAAGCGATAATTGCTCCTTAAACGATATTGAAATTGCTTTATTGAAAATACGTTTGTAAAAGACTTGATTTGAATTTGCTATTGTTTTTTTGTTAATATTAATGGAAAAGATTATAGAAAATGATCAAAGATGTCGTTTTTAATTATGCTCTTTTGAAGAGTTTCATTAAATAAATTGTTGATTATTATATTACCAATAAGAGAATTAGAAAAATTTAATTGAGTTATTCTAGTTGGTTTAATAATTAAGGGAATGAACCCTATTTCAAAATGCATTACAAAACATTTTAATGTAACATTTAACGGTGTAACTTTTTACTTGTTTTATTAACATTTTAATGTTAACATTTTAATGTTAACATTTTAATGTTACATTTAACGGTATAACCTACGCAATGTGTATTTCTATGGAGAATAAATTTAGGAAAATTTTTGCATGTTTGCCCATGCAACTGCGGTATTTATTTTAATGATGTATACTTTGCGTAATTTGTAACCACGAATTGTGGCGCCGGTTTTTATTGCAGGGCGTTCAAAACTTTTTTTCATCTTTTATATTAAGTTTACAAAAATTTATTGTACATTTTATAATAAGGTTCAAAAAAATTGGGAGGAACCTTACCTACCAACCACAACTAATCTTAAGTCAAAATCAACAAAAAAATTGCTTTTTTTGTTGATTTTGACTTGAGATTATTTTTTACCTTTTTTGACTTGAGATTATTTGTCTTCATACGGTGGAATAGCCTTTTTGAAGAAATTTTCATTAATTGACATGGAAGATAATCTTTGTTCGATATTGCGAGGGATTGCTTTTATTATGCTTGGAGGGTTGTTAGAATTAGAGTGGATGTACCTTATTTGAAAGTCAAAATCAACAAAAAAAGCAACATAAACGTAATATTATTTGGTATAACCCTCCGTTCAGCTTAAACGTCAAAACAAAAATAGGAAACCGTTTTCTAGCCCTTATTGACTTACATTTTCCAGCCGGTCACAAGCTACATAAAATATTCAACCGAAATTCTGTTAAGATTAGCTACAGTTGCATGCCTAACCTAAAATCTATCATAAATTCGCATAATTCCAAAGTTTTACACAACAAAAATCAATTAAAAACCAACCAATGTAACTGCGTAGATAAAGCATTTTGCCCTTTGAACAATCAATGTTTATCTAACAATATTGTCTATCAAGCAACCGTAAGTTCCAGTCATCATGATCGTAATAAAAAAGTATATTTTGGCATTAGTAATACACCATTTAAACTAAGATACGCAAACCATTTCAAATCATTTGCATCAATTAAATATAGAAATGACACAGAACTATCTAAGGAAATATGGAGTTTAAAAGACCAAAACATAAAGCCCATTGTAGAATGGAAAATTGTCAAACGTTGTAAACCTTACAATCTAGCAACAAAAATATGCCACCTTTGTCTCTACGAAAAATATGTAATTTTATCGCATAATGGAAAAAATCTACTGAATAAAAAAAACGAAATTGTATCTCAGTGTCGGCATTCAAAAAAATTCCTATTATCTTTATTTGACACAGGGGACTAATAAACTATAACGGCTTTTTGTTTTTTGTTTTTTGATTTGTTTTTAACGTAGATTTGTTTATAACGTCAGATGTCATTCTACAGTAATTTTTACGTTTTTGTAACGGTTTGTTTACGCTTTTTGTTTGTATTAACGGCTGATGATTGCCTTCGGGCATGAAACTTTAAGTCCCGCTAATCAGTTGTTTTTATTCATCTAAATATAATTATATATAGCTCTATTATTCAGTAATATTGAGCACTGTAACACGTACAAGAGACTTCGTATTATTACTTCAAAATACTTAACCTCGAATATATTCTATATATCGAAATCTATACAAATATATATATATATATATATATATATATATATATATATATATATATATATATATATATATATATATATATATATATATATATATATATATATAGTTTACATTATTTACATGTAATATAAACATAAAAACTTGGAACCCGGAAGAAGATCATATCAATCTTGTTGCCAGAACCATGGTTTTGGCGATTATAATTACTGTATGTGATTATTAAACTGTATTATTTTATATTATATTTATATTCCAATTTTTTTATGCATATAAAAATTACAATACAAATATAATATAAAATAATACAGTTTACAACAAAATAACAATCCAAAACATTTGAAATAATAAATGGTTAAAATAATATCTTAAAAATATTTCAATATATTATCCGTTGAAAAAATAATATCCTTTAACTTGTTTTTAAAAACAGAAAAAAAGATAGATGAATCTAAATTAGGATGGACAATTATATTCCAGAGATAAGGTGCTCGATATTTTATACAAAATTGATTAAACTTTGTTTGACAAAAGGGTTCTTTTAAATAGTTATTATTTCGCAAACTATATTTATTCTTTACTTTAAAGGTAAATAGATCTTTAAAAACATGTAATAAAAGGTTGTTCATACAACAAAACGTAAAACATAAACGTTTAACACATTCATATCTTCAAATAAAGGTTTTATATTTGAAAAACGATTTAAAAAATATTTTATTCGAATTGTATATTTCTGATGGCGGTAATGGCGTTGCAACTTACTTTTACCTGTACTTCCCCAGGTAATATTGGCATAGTTTATATAGCAATAAATAAATGAGTAGTATAGTTGTTTTAAATCATTTTTGTTTACATAATCTCTGGCCTTATAGAGGATTCCAATACTTTTTGCAACTTTTATTGATGTATAATCAATGAGTTTTCCATGTCATATTTTTGTCAAGATAAATACCTAGGTATTTTAAAACGGAATCTTTTTTATTTCTACTTTATCGATATAAAGTTTAGGCAAATTATAAGGCAAAAGACGCTTTTTTTGTTGAGGAAATTTTGTTTTGTCAATATTTAAGGTTAAATTGTTGCATTTAAACCAAGTAGAAATTTGTATAAGGTTTTTATTGATATTTTAAAAAAGTTTGTTAATGTCTTTGGTTTGCTAAAAATAAATTGGAATTGTCTGCAAACATGATGCTCATAAAGTTTGAAACCTTATTTAGATCGTTGATGTATACTAAAAAGAGAAGTCGACCAAGTATAAAACCCTGTGAAACACCACATTTTATTTTAATTAATGTTTTATTTTGAACATCAATAGGTAGCAATTCTTCTCCGTGGTAGAAGAATTGCTTTCTATTTGGCAAGTAGCTTTTATACCATTTGATCAATTTACCAGTTATTCCGTAGAACTCAAGTTTTTTAAGTAAGCTATCATGGTTGACTGTATCAAAAGTCTTTGATATATTGACAAAAACACCAAGTGTATATTGTAATTTAGCAAAATAATTTGAGATTTCACGTGAAAACTGAATAATGGCTTGTTCGGTTGAACTTTTTTTTTAAAGCCGAATTGATTTTTATATTGTAAATTATTTGAAATCAGGTTGTTGTCTTTTCAAAGATGATTTTTTCTAATATTTTTGAAAACGTTGGAAGGATTAAAAAAGGGTGATAATTATTGGCCGGTTGATAAGCGGTATTGTCAAAAATAATTTTTGGTAAACCAAATATTTTTGATTCTTTTTTAGATTACCTACTTTTGTTAGAGCATTAGATTTAAGCTTGTCAACTGCCAAACTATTTTCATCGATTAATTTGCGTTGAAATTCATTTTTTCTTTATAGCCTGTTTTTCTTACTCTCAATTCTTTATTTTAAGCAATAGTACATCTCCATTTCTTTATTTGTAGGCTATATATAGAAAGTATTCCACGCTCTTATCCAATCATGCAATGTTGACAAATCACTCTTAAGTTCGGTTTGTGAATTATTTATAAGTTTATAGCCAAATGTAAAATTAATGAACTTGTTTTTTAAAGAATAAAATGCAATAAAACTTTACTACAAAATAAACAGTTTAAAATAATAATTTTCATTTTATAACCTTTGATCAGCTGTTTCAAAAATTTCAAATAAAAACACCTTCATTAGCAGAACTGCCCGTATATAAATTTATTTGACAAAATTAGTGTATATAGCACAAATAAAAAATTTGCAACCTAAAACAGCTTGCTGTTATGAAAAATTAGGCATCTATGGCAAGCAAATAAAGAATACCACCTTCCCGAGAAGCCAAAATCTCATATTAGTATTCCTGCCAAATTCAGTTGATACGCACAAATATTAAATTTTTTACTAGTTTTATCTCATAATTTACTGTTCTGGCCCACTGTGCGCCACCGTGTCAGATAGTTAAACCTACAAAAATCTCGACCTACTAAGTTGTTCTACAAAAAGAACATCTACATAAAAGTGGAACTAATTTTCAGATAACCTGCTGAAGCCTAAATTGTTTTCAACTAATTATAGTCTTTTTTATTTTCAACAGATTTATGATATTATTGTTTTCAACCAATTTATTTTTCGATCTATATTATAGATTTTCAACCGATTTGAGATAAATAATTTTCAACGGATTATCTGGTCTGTGTTGTTAACGTCGTTTTTTTTAAACTACAATTTTTTTTTTTTAAATTAGCAATCAATAAATTTTTCTAGCATTCATCGAACCTTATACTTCCCGATTCTGAAGACGGCACTTTAGCCACTGCGCCAAAGCTAATCAAAAATGGCTCGTAATCAAATCAACAACAAAATACACAAAATACATACCGGAAAAATGAGGTTATAAAACTGAAGATACAGTAGGTTGAATATTCAGTAGGTTGAATATTTAATAGGTTGAATATTCAGTAGGTTGAAAAATCAGTAGGTTAAAAATACAGTAGGCCAACGATTTGTTGGAAAATTAGTAGTACATGTTTTAAATAGGTGTAAATATAAAAATCAAAAATTGTCGGTTTAAAATCAAAATGTCATAATCTACGATTAACGAAATTTTAAAATTAGGTTAAGTTATAGGCCATCTGCGCCACCAGGTGTTAATAATAATAGCTTGTTAACTAAAGTCTACATTAATACAAGTGTTTGTGTTTTGTTCATTCATATAAATTTAATTTTATTTTAGGATATGACATTCGTGATTCAAGAAACAAAGTTTTGTGCGCTTGTGACCACGCCTTAGATTTTTTGTTGAATAAAAAAGGAAATTCAGTACTTATTGGAGTTGTTGGACCTGCCTCCAGTTCTTTAAGTGCTGCTGTAAGTACTATGTTACTACCTGACTTTGTTCCACAAGTTTCCTATTCTTCAACAAGTATGTCGCTATCAAAACGTTCAGTTTATCGGAACTTTTTCCGTACAGCTCCAACTGACGCTTATCAAGCAAAAGCCTTAATTGATTTGATTGAACACTTTCAGTGGACATACATCTCATTATTTACTTCAGATAACGATTATGGTCGTTTTGGTCGTGAGGAAGTTCAAAAGGCAGCAAAAGAAAAAAATATTTGTTTATCTGTTGATAAGATTTTCAATATAAGCCTTTCAAATAATGAAACGGATATTATTTTTGAAAGTATTGAGAAACACTCGCGCATTGTAGTATTATGGTGCGACTCTCAGTATGCAAAAACTATTATTTCCAGAAGTATTACGCGAGGTTTAGGCAACATCACCTGGATAGGTAATACTTTCTTCTTTTTGTAATTAAACTTTTTTTATCTTCTGGTTCAATACACCGTACTTAAGATGCTTAATATGTAATTTTAAAACCATAAGTGTTAACAACACTTGTAAACTTTCGTGTCATATTAATACATTTTGAATTTAAATATTTTTGCTGCAAATGAATTTTATGCAGCACTAGTGGCTCAACACTATTACAAATAGTGTTGAGCCACTGATATTTGCTGACCATGACGTTGTTGCTTTTTGCAGTATCGGGACAAACTTTTTTTAGGGATATTAAAGTCTTTGGCTGTTTTTTGCATAGATTTTCCTTCTAATAAAACAGCATCAACAGCATTTTTTATAAACTTTTGAGGAGTTATAGCCCTCTTTGTTTTTCTTTTATAGTTTCGCATGTAATATATGTGATATATCTATCTAATCAATATTTTTAAAAATAAATCAAAAGTTATAGAAAAAGTTGAAATTTATGTCCAATCGCAACCGGGTTTAGTTGTCATATACGGCCAACTTGTCCTGCCAAAATTAACCAACTAGCCTCGAAGCTATTTGGTCACAAACTCCCCTACCGATCCCTGAAAAACGTATATGAATAAAAAATAATGGTTGGACAAATTTTACTGAACCATGCAAGATATAACTCAAATCAAGTTTACGTGTACTTGATAAAATTGCTTTTAAAAATCGAAAAAATAAAGAAGTTGTAAAAGTTATAAAAATGTGGAAAAAACACATAAATCACAATATCTTTTATGCGCATGCGCGAATCCCCACAATACTTCAGTGAAAGATGAAATGGTCAACTAAGAAGGTTTCCTGAAATTATTGGCACTTTTTGATGAAAGACTTTGCAGATAAACGCAATTCGTCAACTTACCCCTGCTGCCAACTAGCCCCGGTCTCCCCTATGTATTTAACTCATCATCAAAAGAAATTTTAAGCTGTTCGCATACCAATACTACATCTTTAAACTAAAATAGGTTTCTAACACTCTCACAAATGGAGAAAAGTTTGAATTGTCCAAATAGCTCTGTTGAAGAGGAGTGTTTTTGTTTGGTTTGCGCCTAATGTCACCTTTAAGTTCACGAGTCATGTATAATCGAAAAATCTTTGTTTTTCATTTGCAATAATTGCTGCTAGCCGATTTGAAACTCCATTAGTTAAAAATATTTGTGTAATAAAACAATATAAGTTTTAATTCTTATTGTATAAACATAAATTGGGAACACTGTTTTGTTTTTGTCACTGTACTTCAGCTATGATTCCTTTAAAAAAAAGGGGCGGGGGGTTAAAATATTATTGAAATACACTTAAATAGGACCTTTAACTTTAGCTTTTATTATTGCGAGTCAACTTACCCCTTGAGTATAACCAACTTACCCCAGGGTGTTGGCGCAATTTTTCTTTTTTTTTGAGGGCCCGGAAAGACCCCAAAATATTTTTTTTTGTAAATAAATGCAACTTTTATAAGTTTTAAATGTTACTTTTATAAGTTTTTTTTACTTAAAAATCTTCAGTAGATCTTCGCCATTCCGCGAAGATCTACTGAAGATTTTTAAGTAAAAAAAAGTAGTTTAATAAGGAAACAAAAAGCTATAAAAGTCAAATAAATATAAAAAATATATTTACAAAATAACAATATGAATTTTTTTATCTTTTTATTTAAAATGTAGTATCTATTAGTTGTTGAAAACTAATAGATACTACATAAAAATTGACATTTAAAAATTAAAACAAACAACTTATATGAACTCATAAAGCATCATTATGTCAGTAAATCCCAAGCATGTCTTTTAAAGCAGTTCAAAGAAAACCTGAAAGCAAAAGAATGTATTGTACAAATGTAATTACATTCCTAAAATTTCATTTCTTATATCTAAATTCAAGCCGAGAAAATTATTAGGTTCAAACAGTATTCCGACAAACATTCTTTTTGATTTTAACTACAAATTTTCAAATTTCTCTCTAAACTATTTAATATCTCATTCATAAATGGAACTTTTCCTGATATTTTAAAATTATCTTGTATTATTCCAATTTTAAAAAACGGCTCTAAACTTTTATGCACTAACTATAGACCTATTACTCTTTTATCTAACATTAGTAAGCTTCTTGAAAAATTAATGTATTCTAGAGTGTACTCTTTTCTAAACTCTTTTAACTGTTTAAATGAGTTTCAATTTGGTTTTCGATCAAACCATTCTACCTACCACGCACTGATAACTATAACTGAAAAAATTAGAAAAACTCCTGATACTGGTCATTTTGCTTGTGTTGTTTTTATCGATTTACAAAAGATTTTCAATACCGTTGATCATAGCATTTTAATTTCTAAGTTAGAACATTATGGAATTTATGGAGTTGTAAGTGATCGGTTTTGATCTTATCTTTAGGATCGGAAACGATATGTAAGTGTTAATGGTTATACTTCTAGTAACAAACGTATTACGTGTGGTTTTCCTCAATGTTCCGCTCTTGGTCCTCTTTTGTTTTTAATTTACATTAATGATCTAAACAACCCTGTTCACTTCTCGTCGATTCATCTATTATTAGATGATACCAATCTCTTGCATGTCAACAAACCATACTATCCTCTATGGAAAAATATAAAATCGGATCTTAAAGGTATAGTTCATTAGTTAAATGCCAACCTAATATGTCTTAACACCGAAAAAACTGAACTAATTTTTTTTTTTCATCTCCTAGATAAAACTGTAACAACAACAGAAAAAACTGTAACAACGTTGAAATTAAAATTTAAAATAAATAATAAACAACTATATCCCTTGAGAGTTATTAAATATCTTGGTGTGTTAATTAATTGCAATCTTTCGTGGAACTCCCATATCGATCAGCTGCGCAAGAAATTTAATTGTGCAAATGGTATGCTTTCAGTAATTCGACATTATTTCGATAAAGTTACTCTTTTAAATATTTACTATGCATTATTTTCATCTCATCTAAGTTATTGTTGTCAAGTTTGGGGTCAAACTGGCAACTATCATATTAACAAACTAATGTCATCTCAACGCCAATCCATTAGAATAATAAACTTTGAACCTTTCAAATAAGATACATCAGATTCTTTTAAAAAACTTAAAATTCCAGCCTTTCATTTGTTAGTAAAGTTTGCTAATCTTCTTTTTGTTTTTAACTCTCTATATAAAAATTTACCTTCTTCTATCGCAAACTTTTTTATATAAAAGTAGACTAATTCATACACACTCTACGCGAAATATAAATAATGGAAAACTTATTGTACTACCATATAAAACTCAAAAGTATGGTAAGAATTATGTTGTGTATTGGTGCATCTGTGAATGGAACAAGAGCCTTGTGTGCATTGTGAATGAGTTCAATAAACTCCAACTCCAAACTCCTTTGTCATCTTTTCTTAATCTTAATCAAAAACAATTTTAAAAAATTCTGAAAAATATTTTGTTATAATTTTTTTCTATTACTATAATAATTTTCCTTATTTTTTTGTTTGTTTTTCTTTCCTCTTATATTATTACCAATCATACATGATTTAAAAAAGTTTACTTTATGTGTGTCTATGTTTTATGCTTTATGTCTATATGTTTATTATTAGTCATATTATTTTGAATAGTCATATTATGGTGTCACTCCTTTGATCAGACTTCTGTATAAGTGACACCATCCATACTAATCATTAACTTATTATAATAAGAAATAAATATAAACAAATATAAATACCATTTTACTTATTATTATTACAGTGATTATTATTGTTTATAGTTTTTTTTTTTGTTATTATTATTATTGTTATATATTATTACTATTGCTTATTATTTTATAATTATTGTTATTATTATTATTATTATTATTATTATTATTATTATTGCTATTATTATTATTATTATTATTATTATTATTATTGTTATTATTATTATTATTATTATTTACCTTGTTATTGTAAAAATGATTTTAATATGGAAATGATTTTAAAATGGAAATGATTTAAAAAAAAACGATTTTAAAATGTTGTTGTTGTTATTGTTGTTGTTTAATGTTTAGTGTATTTGGTGTATATTTGATACTTTGTTAGTCATGAGGTTGACTGGTTTTTGACTAGTAGTTGTTGGTGATTGTGTTAGGTCATTCGTCTTTAACTTTCATACATCTGCTGCTGCTTTTTTTTTTTTACAAAGGGATGCGTTTCGACTCCATTGGCGATAGTTTCTTGAATAAGAAATAGGTGTTGTGGATTTTTATTTTTTACAATCTTTGTTATTAAATATCTAGTTAATTATTTTGTATTAGACTTGCGAGGGAATAATTATTTCTTTGAAATAAGTTTTTGACGAAAAGGAATTGGTTTTGCACATTGTTTTATGACCAAGTTCTTTTCCTGAATTGAAACGCAATTCGTTTAGCAATTCAATGTATATATTCCTATTCTCCTTATAAAATTTAATAGAGATGCTATTTTTTTTCATTTGAGATTTAAAGTCATTTTTTTTTAATTTAATAATTTTGTAAATAAAAAACAATTTGCTGATAAATTTATTATAACATCTAAAAACGCTTTGTTTTTTGTGTAATGTTTCTTATAACGTTTTTCCATTTTCTTGAATATATTCTTAGCTTTTAAATTTTTAAAACTTTTCAAACTTTTTTACCAAGTTTTTTCGCTCTTCAACTTCAAGTTATTTTGTTTTCGCAAAAAAAAAAAATTTAAAGCTGAAATCAAAAAACATTTTTAAAGTAAAAAAAAATTATTAGTATAAAGTTATTTTTATTAGGGACGGAATCTTGGGAAAACGAGATTTTAATACTTTCTTCTTCTAATCAACCTCACAATATTTTCATTTTACGGCTTAAAGAATACGCAATAAATGTTATTAACAACGAACTTTACAATAATGTTACAAGTAAAATTAACTGTCGAAATCCATGGTTTAAAGAGTTAATGAACAATGTTTCAACAAGCAGCTTTGACTGTATTCCGAGTTTAGCGTCGTCATTATCAAAACGGAAAATTAATCAAGTGTTTGGCGCTGTCTATGCTTTAGCGCATGGGTTGCATAATTATTTAAACTGCTCATTTGAAAAATGCCTCACCACATTTGATTCTATTGATTACGAAGTACTATACCGCCACGTGATTAATACAAGCTTTACTGTTCCTGCAAGTGATTATTACGTCAAGTTCGATGAAAATGGAGACATTTTGTTCCCTGCGTATGAATATACATTTTTTGATTTTAATCGTTTTACTAAGTTTGGTATCTGGGAGTATAATTTTAACATGTCATTAAATGTGTTTATAAACGAAAGTATAATTGCATGGAAAGATAGTAAAATACCTCAATCAGTTTGCAGTATGGACTGTTCACCTGGTACATACAGAGTTAATTCTACGTTATCAGTATGTTGTTGGAGTTGTATACCATGTCCACCAGGCTCAATTACAAACGCTGTTAATCAATATAACTGTACAAAGTGTTCAGCTACATCTTTAGTAAATTTGAATCAAGATCAGTGCATTAACTTGCCTGAAATAAGCTTAACGTTTTTGCGTCTTGAAGGAGTATTTATCATACTGGGGTCAATATCAGGTGTACTGGGAACGAGTTTTGTTTTGATTTTGTTTTTTATATATTGGAACAATCCAATAATTAAAGGTTCAAATAGAGAGATGTCCTGTATCCAGTTATTTGCTTTTAAATTTTTATTCTGCATTTCGTTTTTACATTTTTCGAAACCTACACAAACAGTGTGTCTGTTAAGAACAACGTTGTTTAGTTTTTTCTTTACTACCGTTCTCTCTCTTATTGTAGTAAAAACATATCGATTGCTTCGCGTTTTTAATGGGAGATTTACAAGAGTTTCAAAGTTTTTAGATAACAAATTCCAAATTACTTTCTCATTCTCACTTGTTTTAATACAAACAGTAGCGAATTTTATTTGGAACTTATTTTATCCCACGAGAGTCCGCGTTTTCGTTAATTCTACGCACTATGAATTTCACATAGTCTGTGAAAATAAAGAATTACTTTTGGTTTCGTTCATATACTTTTATACTTTGACTACTGTATGTGGATACATGGCTTTCCGAGCGCGTAAACTTCCGGAAAATTTTAATGAAACCCATTATATTGCTTATGCCATGCTAACAACTTGTATTTTTTGGTTCACGTACATTCCTATTCATTTCAGTACTGACCCATATGAATCCGATGTGGCCTTTTTATGCATTAATATTCTTTCATGTCACACCATGCTATTGATTTTGTATGGAAATAAAATAAAATACCTTTTGCGAAATCCAAATATAAACAGAATTAGCTTTTTTTACAATAAATCCACAGAAAAAATTATGCATAATTTTGATATTAAAGTCAATCACAAAGATAGAACTTCAATTAAATTTGTTTGCAACGTTGTTGATTTTAACTCAGGTACAAATTCAGAAATTGGTTGTCAAAATAAAGATACTGTAAATAAATTAGTTTGTTAATGGCTTTCTTTTAATTAAGTCAGTTAAAAACTACAATTATTCAAACACAGAAAAGAAAAGGAACAAATAGTTACAGTGTGGCAATTAACATAACAACTTTGTATTACGTCATATTGTACAATTAAATAAAATGGTTTAAATTTCTGAGTTGCCAATATATAGCGCCTTAAAAATAAAACTACAATTTAAAAAAATAAATTGTAATATTTTAAAAAAAAAACTTTTTATACGCGATATTACAATGTCGTAAAAGCAAAAATGCATATGTAAATGCAAATATTAAATGAATCTAAATTAATCTTGTTTTTTTAGAAAAACAACCCAAATACCTGGAAAGTTCCAAATTAGCTGAAACGTGGCACATATTTTTGCAATATGATATAGTAACCCTAATAAAAAAAAACTTTTGTTAGCTTTTGGAAAAAATGAGTTAAAGGCGTTTTTCCATAATGTTAAACTTTACATAATGTTTTAAAATTAGAAAATAGGTGTATGTTAATATCATATTAATTAAGAAACCTTTTGAGTTAAAAATTTAACAAATTTAAAATAGAGAAAAATTCTTTCAAAATCGAAAAAAAAAAATTAATTGTTGCGTTCTTCACTCTTTCCTTTGTCCTCTCTTGACTGTGTCACTTGTTCCTAAAATAAGATTGGTAAAAAATTGGTAACATATTGTTTAACATCTTCTTTGACACATTTTCACTAAAATACTATAGTACTGTAATAGTGCAGTCATATTATTATTATTTTCACTTATTTATTAATTAATAAACAGTTAAGATTAGTGTAATTGTAAGATACATTTGACTAACAAGATTCAGTGATCGTATAGATGCAAGTAAAATGCGAATCGTATTCGTTTATTAAGAATATGATGGTATTATTTTTGTTTTTCTTATTGATTTATTTGTAAATATTGTATTAAATATTGTAATAAAAAAAAAAAAAAAAAATTGGAAACAAGTTATCAGGCATAACATCCAAATCTGTCATTATTGGTGACAAAATATTTTTGATTGCTATCCTCAACCGTCTGGTACTGAAATAAATTGTCAAGTAGCTTCCAAATAGAAACCTAAAACTAAAACAATTTAATTGAATTTATTAGTAGTGTCTGCAGCAAGTTAGTTTTAATATAATAACTACCAGTAAATGCTTTTTACCATGAATTACCATGTAATCGGTGAAAATAAGCCATTTGTTAAAAGGATTAATTTAGCTAGCTAAGTTGATTGGCAACTTAGTTAATTAATCCCTTGCATACTATTTTGAAATACTTCTTGCAATTCAAAGTCTTCTATTTATACCTTGCGAATAGTTTCTTCTGCTTAAACGTCCATAAATGTTACCCTCACTCCCAAAGCTGTCATATATGCAATTGAGTGGCACATTTGTACGTTTAGCATTGGAGTTAGCAAGTTTTGAACTAAAATTGGCAAGTTTCAAATATTAAGGACTCAAATTTCAAATATTATATTCCAAAAAATTGTTGAAAATGTCTTTGATGGATCCACGCGATTAAGCCACCAAACGCAGTTTGAAAAAGCGCAACCGTCAACTGGTTGACGGTTTATATTTATCAATCATATCAAATATTTATCAATCATATCAAACTCAATGTTTCTGTATCTTTCAAAATAGCTTTATTTTAAAGAAATTTAGTTTGATTTTTTCATCGTCATTTTTTTAGAGATTTTCTCTGTTTTTAATTTAAATATAAGATGTTTTTCTTCAACGCTGTCCCTTACACTAACTGCTGCGAGTTTTATAAACAAAGTTCAAAAGACTCAAAGAAAGTTAATTTAAACTAATAACATATAGGTTAATTTCAGTTGTATTTTTCAAATGAATTCAAAATTGGGCAACTTGATACCTTCTCTTGAGTTTAATGACAGTCATTTTAAGGTAATTCATTGTTATCTATGCTTTCAATATAAATTCTTCGGCATGTTCGCAATTTTTGACATCTTTGCCTGGTGTTGAAATAAAGCTAGATTTTTATCGTTAAATGAAAATGGATTTATATTTGCAATCCAGTCATAAAACCTTTTCCAATCTCTCGCATCTCGCTTCAATTATTATTGATCAAGATTTTAATGTTGCTCACGAGTTTTTATAGTGGAATTCGAAAAGAAATTCATTGCCTCGTTAGCTGCAATATGATGTACACCTAATACCCGCAAGTGTCTTAAACTCTCTTTTATTCCACGTTCTTCTGTTAACCCTCTTCTGCTCTAAATGAATTGCACGAGTCTCAGCTCTATAATCAAATCCATTCTTCCCAGTAACGTTCACTTCAATGTATAGCATGTTTTTATTATTATATCAAACCACGGGTGTTAACTACCTAGAGATATCATCTGTTGAGCATACAATCTCCAAGACTTTACATACTTTTTATGACCACAAGCAGCAAAAAGATTTAGCACTTCAAAAATTGTTCATTTCCTCCATTAGAGAGTTCTAACATTTTTTTTTATCAGTGATCTGTACCTTGATCTCGAAACTTAATTTCCTCAAAAAAAACATTTCATAAATTTGATAAAAGTCTACATTTTTGTAGAAAGAACATCAAACTGGCATATGAATATACATTTGATGCTAGAAGTGCTAAATCTTTTTGCTGCTTGTGGTCATAAAAACTATGTAAAGTCTTGAAGATTGTATGCTCAACAGATGATATCTCTAGGTAGTTAACACCCGTGGCTTGATATAATAACAAAAACATGCTATACATTGAAGTGAACGTTATTGGGAAGGTTCGATTTGATTATAGAGCTGAGACTCGTGAAATTCATTTACGTGAATCATAAGTCTGTTAAAAGATAAGCTCGTATAGCTCTTGACGCACCTTTTTAGAAATTTAATGCTCTACACTGCTTTATGCATATACTTGAGCAAAAAGTTTTTCTAAATCAGACCCTTATATAAGTTTCCCAACAGCACCCAGGAAGCTCATTATTGTATAAAACCTTTAAGTCTTGCTACAACTGGCAACTCTGATACCTCTATGACTCCTATTGTTTTTATCCACGAATGCTACTCGCATTCTCTACTCATTAACCGGTTTAAAATTGCTTATTTTTGTTTGGAAAAAGTAAGCTTAATAATATTTAAAGGAAGTTAGGTACCCATCGTTTCTGACAATTAAAGTTTCTTATGTTTTCAGTAGTTGGGTAGGAACCACATATTTATTGTCACATAATTACTGAATTTGACTAATTTTAGCTTTGATATTGTTGCAGCTGCTGTGGTATTAAATTTTTTTTTTTGCCTTTTTTTTCGCTTAGCTAAAATATAATTGGAAAATCCTTTAAAATATATGAAATTTGTGAGACGAGTCGTTTTGGAAAAATAAATTGCATCTTAGCAGCGCTGTCTCTAAAAACGTAATTAAATAGTTTGGTGAATAGTTTGTTGTATCTTCTGGTTTAATTTGGTTATCAATTTATTTATTGTGTATAACTCACTGCTGCCATCCTCCTCTAACCATTGACATTTCAAACATAGATATTTTGCTACTATGGACTTGCTTTCCTATAGATATCTTTTCTTATAAAAAAAACACAACAAAAACGCATGAAAGGTAGTAATTTCCTTTATTTGCAACAAGGTTGTTTAATGAAAGAAGGCGGTATTTGTATTTTCTTCAGTTGTTTGAGCCACACATTAAAGTTAGCGGTAGTGGTGTAGTGGTAGAGCGCTCGCCTCATAAGCGAAAAGTTCCGAGTTGATCCCTACTTTGTTCCTGGTAGTACCGCGCTTAACTTGTTTCTCCGTCCAGTGGCCTTGTTCGTCAAGGTTCGTGTTTTGGAGTTCTAAAGTTGAGAGAGTGTTGCAACCACAACTAAAGTAGCCTCCTTGACTGTAGTGGCCTTTTTGGCCGTGGGGAGATCAATTAATATTTTTTAAAAAAATCGGTTTTCTATTAGTTCCAACCTAGTAACAATTGACACTGTATTTTGTTTAAGATACCGTAAACCCTTTCGAAGGCTACCAATTAAACACTGGTCTTTCAAGTTAAAACCGGTTAATGATGATCTTAATTTCTTATACGGATTTAAGATTTTTTTTTGCCTGTTTATGTTCGTTAGTATTTTTCATGGAGGAATATGTTTTTCTTTTCTTTAATTTTTTTAATTAATTTATTCATTTTTTTCTTTAAAATTCTTCTCAATACAAAGACGTAAAAAGTCATAGAAGGGATAGTGTCAATGTAAACAAATCGTTTATCGCTGACGAATGGAGGTTGTTAATACTTCATATTATTCTTAAAAATAATCAAGTCACCTTTAGATTTAAACGTTTTAATCAAGTTATTAAATTTCTAAACATTTATTCTGCGAATCTTCAACTTTTCAATAAAGTTGCAATGACATAAATGTAATTTACAGTTTTTTTTTCTCCTATTTATATTTATTATTTTACTACTTTACATTTAATTAATGTTTTTAAATGATATATATGGATATATGATATTAATAGAGCAAGTGCTAAATTTCAGCTTATTTAGGACTTTATATATATGAGCATTATTGAAAACAAAAAATATTTAAAAAAATTACATACACGGCCACAATGTTGTATTGATTGATAAAAATGAATTTCTTAAAAAAAAATTGTAATTGCAAACAAAATTGATTGCTTTTGAATGGTAAATGCTTATCAAAAAAATACTGTTGCATTGTTTCCTCACAAAATGCATTGTTTTGTCACAAAATGGCCTTGATAAAAAATATTGGCTTAATCGAAGACAAACGAAAAAAAACCTTACTCTAACAACAAACAACCTTTTTAACATAAAAAATACTCAAAATAGAATATTCCGTCAAAATATATTTGGCAATTGAAAGAAAAAAAATATTTATTTTAAATTAAGCTGGTCAATTATAAAAACGCACCTGCCTTTACTAATATATCCAAAAAATGTATGCTATGTAGGGTTGAAAAATTTCCAAAAATTTTCAATTCGGAAACTTTTCCGGAAAATTTTCAGAAATTTATTTTCAGAAATTTAAAAAAAAAGATAATTTAAATATTTTAATGGGTACAATTTTATGTCTTATCTAGGCATTTCTTATGGTAAAATATTCTAAAGCGGATTGTAAAACTTTTAGATTTACAATCCGCTTTACAATATTTTTATATCTAAAAGTTTTTCAATCCGCTTGTAAGACTTTTCTTTGAAAATTACTTATTTGGTATTTTGTTGAAATTTTTATTGTAACTATAAGTAGCAACTATGACAATCTGTTTTCAAAATTTTTTGAATAGATTTTCAAAGCATATTGACGTTCAGTACCGTAGCGATTTTTGTTTAAAGCTAAACATGGTTTGTATTTTCATCCTTAATAAGAGAGGAATATTTTTCAATGTCTATTAAATAATTAAATTTATTTCAAGTTTGTTTCTTGTATTACACTTAAGTCAAACATCAGATTTGAAGCATAACTTAAATTTTCAAGTTTGCTTTTTGCATTCAGAATAGACTTTCGTGTTTTCAAGTCTAACTTAAAAACGGCTAGTTTTCAAGAACAGCTTGAGTTCAAGTTGGTTCTTTGCATTTGCTCAAGTCAAATTTTAGACCTGAAGTATGACTTCAAATTTCAAGTTCGTTTAAATTTAGTGTGTACAATACGGTAGCAAACTTCAATGTTGGTATAAATGCTGCAGTATAAGTTTTTAAAAATTAAACATCTTAACTAGTACTTTCATGGTTACAGGTTCTAATAAAATAAACATTAAAATAATAAAATTATCTACTTATAGAGTGAGTGAAAGAAACAAGTTGAGACGGCAGTTAAAATACAGTAAAGAAAATAAAACAAAATTAAAAAAACTACAAAAATTAGGGTTAAACTTATGGAACAGGAGGGTTTCAAGCATTATTTTTGAGATTTAAAGTATTTTGTTTTTATTGACGTCAGGGGCGGATCCAGCATTTTTTGGTCGTTGAGATAGCTAATTTCCAGGCATGGAGCAAACTCCAAACATTTATATGTTTATACTTATGTCAAATAAAGATGCTTTGCAAAAAAATGCGATGATTGGAGGCTGGGAACAAAAAAGCCCCAAATATTTCGCACCCCTGCCCCAAACGTGAGAGCAACAAGTTGATAAAATATTTTTTGGATTATTCTCAACTAGACAATACTCATCATCGTTTATTTTTAAATTTCATAGTAAAATATTTTCAAAAATTATGACCATATAAAATTTAAATCCCCCTCAATTTGAGGGGGTTGTAAAATTTATATGGTCGTAATTTTTGAACGCTGAGAGATGATACTATGAAACTTAAAATTTATCAATGAAGTCTAGACTTTATTGTAGGCCTGGGTTCCTTTTTTGTCTACCTGAAGTGACTAATCGATGAAAACAAAGTTTCGATGTTTCGAAGTTTTCGAAAATTTCGACGTTTTCGAAGTTTAGATGAACTGATGAAGTTTCAAAGAATCGATAAAAACTGAAGTGACTAGTCGACTAAAACGATGAGTCTTGAGTTAAGGGAATTTTAAAAAACACTACACGTGGGCAGAATAATTGTGTTTTAAATCATAAAAATTGATTTTCTCAAAACAGCAAAAATTCGACTCAGGGTTTTCGTTCATTGAGGTCTTTATATATATACATATATATATATATATATATATATATATATATATATATATATATATATGTATATATATATATATATACACATATATTTATACATAAATATGTATATCTATATATATAAGTATATGTATGTATATATATATACATATATATGTATATATATATATATATATATATATATATATATATATATATATATATATATATATATATATATATATATATATATATATATATGTATATATATATATATATATATATATATATATATATATATATATATATATATATGTATATATATATATATATATATATATATATATATATATATATATATATATATATATATATATATATATATATATATATATATGTATATATATATATTTATTTATATGCGTGTAGACATATATATATTTATTTGTTTATATATGTGTGTGTGTATATATATATATATATATATATATATATATATATATATATATATATATATATATATATATATATATATATATATATATATATATATATATATATATATATATACACACACAGAGTGTAAGCCAGGAAAAATATTGATACAGCGATTTTGCAAAATTGGGAATTTAGACGCGACCAAAAAAAAAAGTTCATTACATTCTGACACCGAAATGTTTTTCTACTTGATAAATGTTTCATTCTAATTTTTCAAGTTGTTTCATTTTGAATAATCTTTTTAAGTTTTCATTTTTAAATCGCTTCTCTACTTTGCTTGATGTAGTAGAAAGAAGTTTTCTCTACTTTGCTTGATGTAGTAGAAAGAAGTTTTCTCTACTTTGCTTGATGTAGTCCAAAGAAGGCAAGAACAAAAGACAATTGTTTTTACTTTTATTAAATGAATTTTTTAAATTTATTCATTAGAACTTTGATCTATTTTAATTGCGTACATCACTTTTAAATACAGTTTTTAAAGATTTAAAACTGTATTTAAGCAATCAGCAACAAACTACTATTTTATACTTTTCAATGACTTTTTTATATTTATTAAATATGTGCTTTTGATCTGACAAGTTTCTTTTTTTTTTCTTTTGATCTGACAAGTTTCTTTTTTCTAAAAAGTAGTATCAAAAATCATTAATTTAAAAATTAAAAATTTCTAAAGTAAAAAAAAAATAACAATATTCTAGAGCAAAAGTTCAACATTCACATATTTTAAAATCAATTTTTTTTTCTTCTGTATTTTAGCTCATTGAGATTTCACGTAATTAAATATGCTGCAAATTTTATTATGTGCTTTTCTAAATCTTATTCTAAATAAATTTTATTATGTGCTTTTCTAAATCTTATTCTAAATATATTTAATTATGTGCTTTTCTAAATCTTATTCTAAATATATTTTCTTATGTGCTTTTCTAAACCTAGAAAAATAAATTTTATTATGTGCTTTTCTAAATCTAGTTAAAAAAGAAAGAAGAAAATCTTTAGATTTTTCACAAAACATTCTCACATGAAAAAATCATGATTAAAAATAATAAACTTTTACCACCTCCAACAGTTACTTAATCCGTATACTCCCAAATAAATATAATGGTATTTATTTGCGTTATCAAACTTGCTTTATTTGCTTTATCAAACAAAGCATGTTTTATATTCTATGATAGAGGGCCTGAAACGAAATTGATACCAAAAGCAAAATACTTTAAAATTTATTGACAATTTTCTATTTTATTTCATTAGATAATTCTTCAAATTTTAATGTTTTAACCAAAATAAATCAAAAACTAAAATTTTTACCATGAGTTTGGCAATGATTTTAGTTCAGGCTCTTCATTTTATGCACATAAAACGTTTTGCCTAATATAAAGATCAAACTTCTAGTGGTTTCCAAGTTACTAATTTTCAAAACAATCTTCAATGTTAACTGATTTTGCAATCTTATTTTACATATTTTTTAATTATTCGAACAAACTGTTCTACAATGACTTTGTTGTTTTTTATTTATTCAAACAATGCTCGGATATCGTATTTAATAATTATTATTAAAACTTTCTTTTCTTAGAGGCGAGAAACCTTAAAGCAAAACTTTTTGTGTATTGTAAGTTTGTTAAACAAAAATAAAATTAAAGTAAAGGATGTGAGAAGCGATCAACATTTGCAATAATTTTATAGCACCTTTTTGTTTACTTAGCAGTTTGTTTATTTTATTTAGTTTAAATAACAATGAATAAGTAAACAACTTTGATTTGAAACAAAGCCACACGTTTGATTCAACTAACGAGTGGCTTTGTATAGTAAACATATATTTTTTGAAATTTTATTTCGGTTTATACTTTTATTATTAATATGAAATATAATATTTAATATAAAAAATTAATTTAAAAAAGTTGAAAATGTACTCAAATTATTTATATTTACAAGAAATAAAGGGGACTTAAAACTAACCTTTATAAGACGTCTCAATTGATTGTCATTAAAACCGTTTTACAATCCATTAGATGAAAGATACAGTTAATTTTAAATAATGTTGAATTCCTGATCGTTAAACAATTCCTAAAGCAACCTAAGTTAGATTTATGATACCATAAAATACTTAAATTGAAATACAAAGCACTGCGGGCATATGTGTTTTACATAAATATATTTGAAAACCGCCATGAAATAATAAAACGACATATTTTGTAAAAAAGTATTAATATAAAATTAAACAAGAATATCTATATTACTTTTAGTCTAAACAAAGAGAAAAGCTCGACTCCCTCGTATAATACTGATAATCGTTTATAAATGCAATACACTCGAATGATTAGCGAATATCGACAAATTTCAAACCCTTTGTTCAACACAATTTTTAACGAGTTTAAATATATATCTCAGTGTTGTTATGAAATATATTATATTTTGTATGCATGTTTGTAAAAATTTATAAACATCTAAACTTGAGCATATAAATTTAAATAGGGTAGATTAGGGTAATATGAGCACCTTGGTAATATGAGCATACTTAAAGATTTATTAGATGTAAGCAGTGAAATTAAAGTTGCTTTGTGTTTTTTGAATCGACTTTATGTGGTGATAACAGGAATCAGTACAATTAGCGTAAGATTATACGCAGTAATTAGCGGAAATCACCTAACTAAAACGCTTTTAAATTTTTTGCTTTGTTAAAATAAAATCATCACGCGTAAATAATTCTGTGGCGAGAAAATTTGGTGCTCAAATAATGAAATTATTTTTTTCATAAAGAAAAATATATTAGCTAAAAATCCAATTCATTTTTGTATGAAAAATAATGTATAAAAACCTTTATTTTTGACTTTATTTAAAGATGCCATTTTTGTGTAATATGAGCATGCTCAAATTACCTAGGGTTTTTCATTAAAATTACTTAGTTTAATGTCCTAAAATAGCAGTGGTTTTTAATTGCTTCTTGAATAAAAACAAAACAGTAAAAGGTTTTAATATTTTAACAATACTAAATATTTTTCTGTAACTTAAATTTAAAAAATTTGAATTTTTATCGTTCAAAGGTTTGAGTTGACAAAATTGAAAAAATAACGTATTATTTTTTTTGCGGAAAACAGTAATATTGTTTCAACAAAATGTAGCTTAAAATTTGATCTTTTAATGATAAGTTTTGTTAATCACAAATCTTTATATTCCAAAAATTAGTTCTATTAGTCAGGTTGGTCTTTTTTTACTTAATTAATGCTATTTTTTTGAGCTAATTTAAAGTGCTCATAATACCAAGGGGTCAGGGTAATTCGAGCACTTTTGCTACTTTTTTAAGACCTCTGTGTTTTTAAGAAAAAATATCGGGTGCCCAAATATCTAAATGGATTATGAGTAGGGATTCCTAAAAATTGTTTATTTGCAAAAATTTTGGATCCAGCATATTTATTTTTGAAAATATTCTAATTTTCGCTTAAAGTGCTCATAATACCCTAATCTACCCTAAATCAAGAACCTTTACACGTCTTACGCAAGTACAACTTTTTCAGGCAAGTAATGTCGCTATTATAGCAAGAGCGACATTATAATCTTGACTTTTTATATTAGATGCCTAAAATATTTTCGAAAAAAGCGCTCATTATATAAATACACTATACTTTTAAATTAACTTCACAACTTAAAATTAAATTAGAGGTTTATTTGATATACGATATACACTTGCATGTCACTTTTTGGAAAAGAAAAATTAGAAGCGGTGCAAACTTTTTTATTACCTTTTTATAATTAGTTATGACGATAGTTATAACTGACACAATTTGTAAAAACAAACATATTTAAATAATGTAAAAACATTTAAACATATACTGTATCACACTCATGGCGATATCTCAGGATTGACCTCATTGAAGAAATGAATTTTGGTGTACATTCAAATATACACCAAAAACATGTTGTTTTTTTAATGGTCGTTAAAATTACGTTTCCCTATCGTAATAAATATATATTACTGTTTTAGTGAAAATTATTACCAGCGTAACTAAATATCGTAAAAGTTTACGTAACGTAGGAAAGCGTGCTAAAAAAAAACTCTCAAAAATATTTAAAATTTCTCTAAACTTGTTTAACTCTAAGTTAAAATCAAAAATTTTTAACAAAACAATTTTATTTAAACCCTATTCAAATGAATTAAAGGCATATTTTCTTCTAATCCAATAATTAAAGGATCCACAGTATTCGGTGGTACTTTATCGTGCTTTATATGATCAACATCAACACAAGAAGACGTTTTGAAAGTTTCTTCTTTTAAATTAACGTCTCTTACATCACACTTAAACAATTTAGATTGTTCGTGAGAAGCATCATCATAGCTTTGAAACATCATTACACTACGAATACTTGTGTCCATCGCGCCATCTTTGCCTTTTACCCTTCGAGGAATGTTTATTAAGACAGATTTTTTTGCAGTATTACGAAAACTATGAACATTATTTAAATTAGGATAAAATAAAATAAAAATCACTTTTTTTGAATACAAAATAAAAAGCGAGCTATAAGAAGAAACCAAATTAATGCTTATAAAAGCAAATTGTCCCGCATGAGAACTCAGACTTTTATAAAGGGGCAAAAAGCTCAACCAAATAATACAAACAGTGAACATTGCATAGGAGATATGTTGGGCATCGTTAAACTTTTCAGGAAGATTTCGAGAGCGAAAAGCCATGTAGCCACAAGCAATGGCAAGTAGGGAATCATATATCAAAATTCCCCAAAACACTTCGTGGTCACACACACGGAAAAAGAGTCTATTTTCAGGATATCTATCTATAACAATTAAAGCAGGAAAGTATATATACCAAAGCAACACACCTAAAGTTTGCAAAAATATAAGTAAAAAAGAAAATCCAATCTGAAATTTGTTTTCTAAAAATCTCGATAGCTTGGAAAATTTAACATTAAAGACACGAACAAGGCGGTATGTTTTAATGCAAACCATTGCTATAACAGTTGTAAACAAAAAACCAAATACCATTGTTCTAATCATGCATAATTTAGAAGTTAGCTCAAGATAGTACAAAAAAGATAAACAGAATAATCCCATAATAGATATCAGCTGTATTGCAGACATTTCTCTGTTTGAAGATTTTACAAGTGGTGTATTCCAATGAACAACATACAAACCCAGCACAAATATACAACAAACAACACCAATACTTGATCCAATAGCAATTATTAAACCTTCTGGTTTCTTTATAGACAATTGTATTTCTTTAAGATTTATACATTGAGTTTTGTTCTTATTCACTATAGACGTTACGGAACACTGTGTACATTCATATTGATTTACACCACTTGAAACAGTGTTCTGCGGACATACTTCACATATCCAGCAACAAACTGAAATTGTGGAATTAACACGGTAAGTGCCTGGAGGGCAATTATACCAACATATAGCGAGAGGAATTTGGTTGTTAGACCAATTAATAATGTTATTATTTATGTTAATTATACTGGCTTTTTTTTTTTTAAATTTCCAACTTCCGAACTTTAGGAAAGAATTATTAAATGCATATGCATACTCATATTCTGGAGAGATAACATCTCCAACATAATCAAACTCCATAGTAAAATTGCTTGATGGTATTGTAAACTTTGCTTTTAAAATTCGCTCATATAAAGCTTTATAATTTATTTCACTAACATTTTCCGAGCATCTAGTAACACTACAGTTTAAGTAGTCATGTAAACCGTAAGCAAGAGCATACACTGCAGAAACCACTTGTGCTTGCTTTTGGTTGGGTAAAAGTTTAATAGGACCACTTTGTTTTTGAGAACAATTATCATTAATATACTCACGATACCATGGATTTTTGCAGTTAATTCTACTAAGCACTTTTGAATTCCATATATCTTGTTCCAGGTCAACTATAATCTCATGATTTAAACGCAATATTAAGATGTTGTGTGTTTTCTTAACTTGAATGATTTCAGAACTTGAAGCCCACTGTTCAGTTCCTAAAACAAAAACTCTAAATTCAATTTAATGCAAAAATATACTTACATAAAGTATATTATTCTTAAAAAAAAAACTTAATTTTGTCATTTCTTATAAAAAAAAGTTATATGTTTAAACTAAAAATGACATCAGACACTTAATTTGGAAATAATGAATACTTAATTTAGACTTTTTTTACTATTACCTTGTATAATTAAGTTGAATATTAAGCAATATTACACACATAATATCATTGAATATTAAACACATAATATCAGCATATTAAAACCAAAAATAAATATTTCTAAAGACAATTGTTTACAAAAATGCAACAATATAAAATCAACACAAAAAAATTAATTAATTTTTACTAGCTAATTAATAATCAGTTTTTTACTAGATTAATTGATAAAATATAATACAGTTATATTAATATTTATAATAAAGTATATTAAAAATATTTATAATATAGTATATAATAATAACACATAACATAGTATATAATAATATTTAACAATAACTAATAAATTTACTAAATTATTTAATAATTTTACTAGATTAATTAATAAGTGTATCAGAAAAACATAATGAGCAAGAGAATTTTTAAGTGCAAAAAAAAAAATCACTTGGAATATAATTATTCAAGTGAATGACTTTTTCAACTGAAATTGAGTGTTAATACTGGCTCAACTATATTTTTACTTTGTCCAAAAAAGAGAAAAGACACCATTAAATGACTAAGACATTAAAATATAAAAAAACTTGATATAAGAAAGAAAGATTTAGAATCATTAGTAGTAATGCAGAAAAAAAGCAATTTATTATACAATTAGAAAAATATAATTTAAAGAGATGTAATGTAGGAGGATTAGTTTGCCAGTCAGAGATTTAGTCAGCCATTAATCGATATAGGATATTTAAAAGATCTCCGAAGTTTTTAAAAATGAAAATAACAGATACTGCAATTGTCTTCAGTATCTGTTATTGTGACAAACCACAAGCTATGAAGGAGTCCTAAGTGAGAAAAATAAACTAAATGAGATATAATTTCTGCCACAAAAGTAGAAGTGTTTGAAATAACTGACAAAAGATGAATCTGTTTAATATAAATATTAAAATCATGTTCATAAGAACCAAGAGATAAATTGAAGAATAATTTCTATGCAAAAAATTCAGAAAGCTTAAAAGAGCTTTAGGAGACTAAATTTTAGATTTATCTTTATTAATAATATTCATAATCATTTTCTAAAAGACAATAGAGCCAAGTTTTTGAGATTTGCCTAATAAAAAGTGGCAAAAATGATCATGATTGGAGATTTAAAAAAATAAAAAAACATGAATATTAATATTTTTTTCTTCTATGGAGTCAATTTTTAGAATGAGAAATTTATTGAGAACAAAATGTGATGATCCACAAGATTCAACAAGCCAAAAGTATTGGAATTTTTTCAACAACAAAATACAATTTGAAAAAAAAACTTGGAATTTCTTGTTTACAAAACGAGCCTTCTACCAAACTACATTAAATAATTAACTTATTACTTTAAATTTAAGATTTATTTATGAAAAAAATCAGAGTCAGCTTTGAGAATAATAAAAATAGATTGCATTTACAGTGCAGTCTTGAGATAGTTAAAGATAGCTAAGAAAAACGAGGAAAAACTGAACTTGACTTGTTTGAAACATGTTTGAAAAACAAGACAAAAATTAAGATTAAGAGAACCTGAGCCTTTGTGAAAACAAACATCAACATTAAAATCTGAAGATTAAACAACCAAATTTAATTAAGTACCTCAGAGAGCAAGTACCAGTCTTTGCATTTTAGTGCTGACATGCACACAGTCTTTTTAAAAGAAGCCTTAAGGCAGGAAATAATTTTACATCGGATATATCTACTTCTAGCTTTTGCCTTGACAAAAAATACAAGACAGCTAGGTTAGGTTGTATTGTGTTACCAAAAGTGGGCTGATTCTGACTCGACCTGCAAATTTATACCAGAAAAACATACATACTATATATAAATTTTACTTTGAAACTTTTTAAAAATAAAATTAAAAAATAAGAATACTTTCTGCATACCTAGCCAAGTAACATCATGTATACCACTTTCTAAAGTTTTTGCAATAATTTTTATAGCATCATGTGCACTACACCATAAGACTACAACTCGTGAATGTTTTTTTATTTGCTCAACAGTTTCTATAAGTTCGAGTGATTCAATATTTTCTTTAAAAATTTTAATAGTTGAAAAACATACATTTTTCTTTTTTGCAAATATTCTGATCTGCTCTAGACCAAAGTATCCATAGTCATCATCAGATGTAAATAAAGATACATAATCCCATCCAAAATGTTTCAACAAATCAACAATGGCTATTGCTTGATAAATATCTGAAGGAACTGTACGCAAGAAATTACGATAAACATTTCGCTTGGATAACGAAGAGCTTGTTGATGAATAAGATACTTGTGGAACAAAGTCAGCAAGTAATATTGAACTTACAGCAGCACTTAAAGAACTTGATGCTGGACCCACTACACCTAATAACTTTGATTGCTTGGATTTCTTTAACAAAAAATCTATTGCATGTACTGAAGCACAAGTGACTTCATTGCGTGAGTCACGAATATCAAAACCTAAACAAATTTTCAAATTTAATTTTTATATATAACCAAATATTGTAAAGAAAGAATCATTTTTTTAGGTCAAAAAAATGCCAAAATAAACTTTTTAACATAATTTTTAGATAAAAATAAAATTATTTTGTAATAATATGGTATAAAAATATCTCACTGAAAAGGTTACTTTAAAATCGTGTGATAATGGCTTAATATATTTTGTTCTTGCGTATTGAGTTATATTATTGTTTTTAAAAAAATTAATTTTAATATTTTTGTTTCATACCAAGTTGAATATTAGGTAGTATCCAATTATTTGTGTTAATTTTTAGAATAGTGTGCACAATAGCTGATGCCCAGTATATCGCTGGTGGGTTAAGAATGTATTTACCATCATGAATTCTTTGCGCAGGAACTATACCACCAATATAAAATGTAGAGTTTTGATGATCAATAAACTTTTTAGTATAACTGCAACCATTATCGTAGAGAACAGCTGATAAAACAACGTCGAAACGTAACAAGTAGTGAAATAATCCCAGATTTAGCATTCTATTGTTCTTTTTAAAATCATTATTATTATTATGATTAAACATAAAAAACTGTTAAAGCATGGATAATAATTTTAATGGCTACATTCGTAAAAAAAACACACACACACAAAAATTGTAATACAAAAAAAAACATTTTTCTTTGCTGTTGTTTGTCAATAATAACCGGCTACGTGCTGCCGGTAGCGGTACTCACATACCGCACAGAAGTTTAATCTCGACATTTGACTATAGAAAAATCTCTATGCGGAATGGGAAAATAACACATGGTCATGATATATGTTTTTAGCTTATTTTTTGAAGCTCAATTTTTAAAAAATACTCTTGAGGGCCTACCATAACTCTAGGACACTAAAATAACACACATTAAAACACCCTAAAAAAGTCAGAAACAACTTTTTTCAGATAGGTATACAAGATCAAAACTCATGTTTTTAGGGTAACATTTCAAAATTTATCCATTAAAAATACTCCCATGTTCATCACCATGATTGCAATATAACTCAAGAACACCAGGTAAAAAAAGTATTCTTTAAAGCATACAACTAAAAATATTTTAGGATCCATATATAAAGTCATATTATGAAGGTAGTTGCCCACATGGCGGCAGGTGTCTCAACTTGAAAGAATCTAAGACAAATCAAAATACAACATTGCTAAAAGAAGAAAAAGCAAAACTACAAAAAATTATCTAAGTTAAAACTGGAATAAAAACTATTAAGAAAAATCTACCCATTGGTCAATATTAAAGATTGCTTCAAAAGACTGGGCCTTATAAAAAATACACATTTTCTTATTGATTTCGTTGAATTCTGCACATAACCTTGGTCTATTTTTACAAAATGGTTATATCGTCAAGCACTTGCTACTTTTTTGTTAGTAATTGGCCTTAACGTAATGCAAATATTTAATTCTTTTGTCTTGAAAATGTTTGCGTAGGTCTTGGCCTTGAAACTCTTAATCTTGGTTTTGTCCTAAGCTTTATAAATTTTGGTCTTGGTCTTGGAATTGGCCTTGTAACTTTTGGCCTTGGCCCTGATACTTTTGGCCTTGATACTTTTGGTCTTGATACTTTTGGCTTTGTTAACAACTCTGTTATCAAGTAGGTTAGAGTATTATTATTTTTTTTTTTTTTTTTTTTTTTTCAAATTTACAATTTATTTGAAGCAGATATTTAAACAATAAAGTTGTAAAATTAAATTAATTTTACAACTTTATTCTTATTATTATAATAAACTTTATTTATACAAAAATAACAAAAAACTTTAATAATCCTTGGATTACCATCAGGTTCAATAAAAAACTAAACAGAAGTTGTATATAAAATATTTAAAAACAAAAATTTCTGCAAGCCAATAAAGACTACAAAAGTTTATTTGAAAAAAACGGAATACCTTAATAAAAAATTTTTTTTAATTGATTAATAAAATTAAAATTGACTTGAAACGCACTTGGCAAATACATTGGAAGAAGTCCTGAAAGAAATCATGGAAGAAATTATGAAAGAAATTATTGAAGAAATTATGAAAGAAATCATGAAAGAAATCATGAAAAAAATCATGGAAAAAATCATGAAAGAAATCATGGTAGAAATCTTTGATGAAATTATGGAAGAAATTATGGAAGAAAGTATGGAAGAAATCATAAGAAAACAAAATACATGCTTCATTTTTTTGCCACAAATGCATAAGACTGATGGCGAAAAATTATAAGAGCTATAAATTATAGCTCTTGAGTTCAATAAATATTACATTGAAATTGATCCTACCCTTAGATAAAAAAACAAATAAAAAAAACTTTTATTGTTTTTAGTATCTATTGATAAAGGCGTTTGCTCTGATGAATTATCGGCCGAATTATCTGTTGAAGAGTTGGAGAAAGCTTTTAAATCTTAAAAAGTATATATAAAGCAGCTGGACCTCATGAAAGCACCTCATAAAATAAATGGAAAGTTATAAAGTGTTATAAAAAAACTTAAAAAATATTCTTTTCAAAAGTTTTAAAGCATAAAATTAAGAAATTTTCCCTGAGCGTTTCAAAATGGCCAAAGTTATCACTATCCACAAAAAGGCGACAAAACCAATATCAAAATATTATCGATCCTTCGCTATCTTATCTATATTTTCTAGAATCCTAGAAAGAACTATGTTAAACAGAGTTTATAATTTTTTCAATTAGAATAACCTATTAAAGAACAATAAATTCGGTTTCATAAAAGTTAATTTAGCTAAGCATGCCGTCATTCAATTTTTATTAACATCCTTTTAAAATACTAAATCCTTTTAAAAATTTAAATACATATAAATTTATGCGTATTGCGTATGCGTATATTTATAATATTTTTATTGACCACTTAAAAACATTTGATTCGGTTTACTTTAATATTAAAAAGTATGTACAGTAAATGTGGACAAAGCGTCTAACCTGTTTGCAGATGACGCCAACCTTTTCAATCCCATTTTCTCAGCTGTAATGAATAACTTATCTCAGCAATAATAATGAACTTTTTTCTTTTTTTAACATTACTAAATGGTTCAAATATAATAAATTAATGTTAAATCCTAACAATACTTGATAGAATCTTTTTTCATCTTTTCTCTAAAAAAACGTTTTTAAAAATTTGTCCCTTGCAATTTTTTTTTTAATATTTTTAGTGATGAAACTAAAATAAAAGGGGTTCTGTTATAAGATTCCTAGGTGTTTATCTTTATGAGAACATTACTTAAAAAAATCATATTAATCATGTAACAAATTTTCTCAAAACATATTGGTATTTTATATAAAGCCCAACCTTATTTTATCAATAAAAAGTGTTACACAACCCTATTACTCATTTATGCACAGTTACATTAATTGTTCAAAAGGTTATTTAAATTATGTAAGCACTACCTGGGAAGTATGGAGTAAAGAAAACTACAACGTCTATATCGCATACCAAAACACATGAAACACGTAATTAATTTTATAGACCGCTCTTCACATTCAAAACCTTTCTTAGGTGACATCGAAAGATTTTATGTATAAAAACCTAAGGTCTTTAATAACGTCTTGTGTTACTTATATATGAAAAAACAAATTATCTCTACCTGTTTATAAAGTTCTTTTCACATTAAAACTTTATAATAAGTACACACTGTAAAATAACTTTTTACTAAATAAACCATTTTACCTTTGGAATGAAATAGTTTTGCCCAATTTTGATCTTTATATTCGTTTGCCTGTTTTAATATAAATTAAAAGATTTCATTGTTGCTATGGGTGACAAACTATGTTACTATTAATCTGAAATAAACTTTTATAAGATTTATATTAAGAGATTTATTTTTATTAACAGATTTGTTTCTTTGTTTTATAAAACCGATTTTAGTACGTCTTACTTCATTAAAGTTTTTTTTATCACGTCCTTCTATCTGATTTTATACGGTTAATCTTTAGATTTACATTTTTAGTTTTATAATAATAAACTATATTATTAAAACTAGATTATTAAAAAGTTTCACTACTTTGTTTTTTAAATTTTTAAAGGTTTTGATGATAAGATCATTATGACATTCTTTTAGTAGCCTTGTTCGTTTGGTCTTGTAAAATATAAGTATTTTACAACAAATGTAAAAAAAAAAAAAAATTGTTTTGCTAGTTATTTTCGGTTTCTTTTAGATTATTTCTTTCACAATCATCCCATTTTTCACAGATTATTCTTTCCTGATCAATTTTCGAGTTCAATCGGTTTCTCGGTTATTTTTTTAGTATTATTTGTACCCTTGATTAATTTAAAACGCTTCTGTTCGTTTGGATATTTTATTTCATTTTCTGTTTGTTTGTTTATCGCTGCAATTTATTTCCTTCGTCATCTCTTCTTGGAAGTTGAAACTTTTCTTTTTTTTTTTATCTTTTTCTATCATTTTTTTGTTGGTGCATCAAACCTTGGATAAATTTAAATGTGATTTAACCATGGTTGAGTCATATTTAATTTTACAAAAACTGTCAGTTATAACTTTCATATAATCTACGCAAAATTAATTTCCTGTTCTTTAAGAAGTCTCTCAGCCTCCTTTAAGATAACCTCTTTCTGTTTATCCAACATTTTTAAAATTATTTACTCGTTATTTTTCTTTGTTTTATCTTCTTTTATTAATTAAAGTAATTCACATACATTTATATTTGACATTGAAAATAAGGGACAGTTTTAACAAGATAAATAATATTTCAAAAACATTTATTTACTTTGAGCAGATAAAAAACGTGTGTTCACTAAGGCGTTTAAAAGAGCTTAAATTAATCAAGGCTGTTTAGAAAGCAATATAAAAGATCTTTAGTGTGTTTAATAGTTTCAACAACTCATAATATTTTATTATCCTGATACGTTTCCAGCTTATTTGAGCTACTAAATATAGTCATCTGAGAGAATTGGTTTTTTATGATGACGTTATATGGTGACAATCATACAACGACATCATACAAAATGCTTTTACTCTTTTATTTTTTAGCCTATAAAAATTTTTGGCACCAGGATAAAACCCTTATTAATTCAAAGAAAGTGATTTAATATTTTAGTAATTTTTATGACACAAAGTTTGATTTTTCTACGTTTTGTTTTTTAAGTTTTGTTGTGAATTGCGTAAAAATATGCGACATAATCATTGCATACTTTTTAGCATTTTACCTTTTAGCATCCAATTTCTGTATTTTATGCGTTGAGTTCTGTTGTTAAATTGTTGGCAATTGCGTATAGTTATAATTTGATTTCTAACAACTAAAATCCATGGTTTTTTTGGAGATGTTGTCTAGTGACATTTTCACATTAGTTACGACAAAAAAAGAGGAAAGCAAATTTTTGTAAAGTTTCTTTCTGACATTTTTTTATTTGCGGCAATTTTTTTTTTTACTTAGAAAGTATCAACATCCAACAATGCTTCAGAGGAGCAAAAAAAGCAACAAAATATGTTTTATCTCTAATCCACAGAAAATCACTTATCTCGTACAAACATTATATTATAATTTTTGCACGAGAAAAGTAGTTTTCGGTGAATTTGAGATGAAACATATAAATTATCATCTCTTAATCTTCATAATGCATTATAAAACATATAAGGATATCAAACTCTTCGCAGATATTCAATATCTTTTCAGATAACAGTGAGGAGAAATTTTCAACAAAGACAATTTATTTCCTCCTTTATATTGT